CCCTCCCTCCCCTCCCGTTCCTTTTCCTTCCTCTTTCCCACTTCCGTTCCCCTTCCCCTTTCCTTTCCCCCCACTCTTTCCTCTTTTCCCACTCCCTCCACTTCCCGTTCCTCCTCCCCTTCCTCTTGCCTCACTCACTATTCTCTATCCCTTTTCTCTTTCCCCCCTTTCCTAAACTTCCCGTTCCTCTTTCCTCTCCCCTCCCCCCTTCCTAACTTCCCGTTCCTCTTTTCCCCTCCCTTCCCCCCTCCTTCCGTTCCTCTTCCCATAAGACCAAACCCTCAGAGAACCCCCCCTCCCAAAGCCAAATCCCTTCCCCAAGCCCCTACACCGCACCGCCCGCCCGCCCACCTCCTTACCTGAGCTTAATATACTGCTCCCAGAAGGTGAAGGGGACGCCCGTGGGGAAGTTTGGCAGGCCGCGCTCCTCAAACTTCCTGCAGATGGCCCGGACCTCCTGAATCATGGCGGTGATGGTGTTGGTGTCGCCCAGCTGGTGCAGGTAGAAGGGCAGCTGCGTGTAGACCAGCGGCGGCGACTTCGGGATCTGCGGAGAGGGGACAGGAGGCGCTCAAAGAGAGATTCCAGGCGAGATTGGCTAATCAGAGTGAATGGGGTGGGGCTTCGACGGAGCGTGTGTCGGTCTCGAGGAAATTGAACTAATGAGAGGAACACTGACTCTAGAGATTACAGGTGCATGTCATTGAAGCTTGAACTAATGAGAGGAACATTGACTCTAGAGATTACAGGTGCATGTCATGAGGCTTGAAACCGAGGATGAATTGAACGAATGAAAGGAACATCCACATAGGGGGATTACAGGTGCATGCCACGACCGGCTCGTCATTTTTCACCATTCTTTAATCATTGGGAATAAATACTCACTCTCCGCCCACTCCACAACCCCTGGCTACCCGCCCACCGTCCGCCCACCCAACCCACGCCCCTTCCATCTCCCCGGGGAAGACCCTGACCTTCAGATCGATGTCGTGAACATCATGGAACCAATGGCGGGGCTCCGGTCGTAGGTCGGCCTGAGACGCGCCATAAGCCAGGGCGTCGTTACTCTTCCACGCCGTCAGGTAGTTGTAGAAGGCCTTCGGGTTGATGATGCCCTCCGAGTCCACCAGCCGCGTCTGTAGGGGGGGCGGGGGAGATCGTTGGTTAGTGTTGACGTCTGTTTTGTCATGTATATTTTTGATGAATATGAATAAGGATTTCATTGTGTCTGACGGACCAACTTCCTCTCTCTCTCTCTCTCTCCCTTTTACTCCCTTCTCTTTCTCACTTCCTCCTCTTCCCTCCCTCCCTCTCTCCCTTCCCCCCTTCCTTCTCTCTCTCCCTCTTCCCTCTCCGAAACACGTACATGGGAGACGAGCGAGAGGTCGATGGGGTTGTCGACGTGCCCGGTCTGGACGAGGAGCTTGTAGGCGAGGATCCCGTCTTCTGAGGCGTTGCTGTGCCAGTGCTCCTGGGTGATGCAGCCGGTCCGCCAGTCCCTGTCGAAGGCCTGCTGGAGTCCTGCGGGAGGAAGGGTAGGGGGGGGAAGGGAAAGGGAAAGGGGGAGGGGTGGAATTATTAGATGGTTGGGAAAAAACAAAAACGATGGATGTCTATTTGATTGATGAAGTTTTATCTGTTTATAAATAACACAAGTCTTCTTATTTCTGTTTTGGTTTGATGTTTTTTCGTCTGTCGGTGTGGTTTATTGGTAAATGTTTTCATTTTTTAAGAGAAAGAAACGTGTTGGTGTTTTGTCAACGCGGATAAATAGCTTTTAATTGCGAGTTAACGCAGGTTTACTTTGTGTGCGAGGATTATAGCACCATAACAATGACAGTGTAAAGTAGTTCGTTAATAATAGCTAAATATTTCGGATCTTGACTTCATACATTTCTCCAAAGTTGTTTATCAAACTAGACACGTTTGTTCAGCGCGTTTGTTCAGCACGTTTGTTCAGCGCGTTTCGTTCGAGCACATTTGTTCTGCGCGTTCTCACTCAGTGTCGACAAGAGCTGCCAAGCACCAGCTTGCAAACATCTATTAAAAACCAAGGGCCCATCTCGACTCGCGTCATCGGATGCCATCTCCTCTCCTAATCTCCCCTACCCTCCCCCCCCTCCTGACCTAACCCCTCCTTCCCAACTTCCCAACCCTCAACCTTCCCCCTCCACTCCCCCCCCCCCCAAATTTCCATCTTCAACCAACCTCCACTCCCCTTACTCCCCCCTACTCAACCCCTCACCCCCCTACCCAAGCCCTCACCAACCCTCACAACCTACCCCCTCACCCAACCCCCTCACCCCCTCACCCAACCCCTCACCCCACCCCAACCTACCACCAAACCCCTCACCCCACCCCCCAAACCCAACCCCCTCACCCCCCACCCCACCCCTCACACCCCACCCCCAACTAACCCCTCACCCCTACCCAACCCCTCACCTTCCCCCCTACCCAACCTCCCCCTCCCCCTACCCCTAACCCCTCCCCCCCCCTACCCAACCCCTCACCCCCCCCTCCCCCTCCAACCCCACCCCTACCCCTACCCCCCTCACCCCCTACCCAACCCCTTCACCCTCCCTACCCAAAACCCCTCACCCCACCCCCCTACCCAACCCCTCACCCCCCACGACGCTGAGCGATGCCTGGCCCCGTCGAAGTGCCATCGCTGCCCCCCTCCTCCCACCCCCCCCCCCCCCCCGCCGGCCAGCTGATGAAAGCACGCCGGCAACCGCGTGTTCACGGTGCCATCGACCGTCAGTGCCAGACACCCTCTACCCCCCCCCCTTGCCCTCGCCCCATCCCTTTTCTCTTCTCCCTTCCCCCTTTCCCTCTCCACTGCCCCTCCATACCCCTCTTTTGTCCCTTCAACACACCTCCCCCACCCCCCTCCCCCCAATCCCCTCTGCCACTTCCATCTCCTTGTGTGGGGGAACATCGAAAAGAGGAAGAAGAAGAGGGAGAATTGGAGAAAGGGAGAAAGGAAAAAAAGGGAACCGGGGAGCAGACCAAAGGGAGAGAAGAGACAGAGAAAAGAGGAGAAATAGAGACTGAAAAACAGAGGAAGGGAGAGGAGAGGCAGAAACAGAAGAGAGGGAGAGCAGAAGCAAAGAAAAGGTGAAAAAGAGAAAAGAAAGACAAAACAGAAAGTGAAGAAAGATAAAACAGAAAAAAGACAAAAAAAAGTAAAAAAGAGGAGAACAGAAAAAAAAGAAAAAAAAAAAAAACAGTAAAAAAAGAGAGAAAAAAACAGAAAAAAAGAAGAAAAAAGAGGAAGAAGAAGAGAAATGAACAGAAATAAGAACCAGAGACAACGGGGTATGGGTATGGGTAGGGTGGGCGGCTAAATATAGCTAAATAGCTGAGTCCCGAGATGTATCGCCCGCCCGGGAGTAGACGTCTACAATCCCCTCTCCGTAATAAATGTTGAAGGGAATAACTATGCGGTAATTAAGACGTCTCGCAAGTACGCCCATGATGCCGTGGGCGCAGACTGAGAGGGTCGACGACGTGCCACCGCGCGAAAAAAAAGGAAAAAAAAAAAATAATATGAAAGTGAAAATAGTAAAAAAAAATAATAATACAAAAAAAAAATAATAATAATAAATAAAAAAAAAAAATAAAAAAAAATAAAAAAAATACAAATCGGGTGTAAAAAATGAAAGAAAAATGACGCATAGTAAGGAAGGAGAGAGAGAGAGACAGATAGAGATAAAATAGATAGATAGAGAGAGGGGAGGAGGGAGGGAAGGGAGGGAGAGAGAGGGAGAGAGAGTAGAGAGAGAGAGAGAGAGAGAGAGAGAGAGAGAGGAGAGGGAGAGGGAGAGGGAGAGAAGGAGAGGGAGAGGAGTGAGAGAGAGAGAGAGAGGAGAGAGAGAGGAGAGAGAGAGAGAGAGAAGAGGGAGGGAGGAGGGAGAGAGAGAGAGAGAAGGAGAGAGAGAAGAGAGGGAGGGAGGGAGGGAGGGAGGGAGAAGGGAGAGGGAGAGGAGAGAGGGAGAGGGAGGAGAGAGGGAGAGAGAGAGAGAGAGAGAGGGAGAGAGAGGGAGAGAGAGGTGAGAAGAGAGAGAGAGAGAGAGAGAGAGAGAGAGAGAGAGAGAGAGAGAGAGAGAGAGAGAGGAGAGAGAGAGAGGAGAGAGAGAGAGAGAGAGAGACTCGGAGGTGGGAGCTCTACCATGGGGGAAAGGGGGGGAGGGGATTATCCAGTTTGTTAACAAGGGAATTGATAATTTCGTTTTTAGGGAAGAATTTAAGAAAGTTGAGGGAATAAACGACCAAAATAACGATAGGTATATGAAAGGAGGGAGAACGAAGAGGAAGAGGAAGAGGAAAGAAAGAAAGAAAAGAACGAGTGAGAGAGGGGGGGGGAGCGAGATAGAGACAGTGAAAGTCAAAGAGAAAGAAAGAGGGAGAGAAAAAATGAGAAAAGGAGAAAGAGATAGTTATAGATAGATAGATAGATAGATAGATACATAGAGGGGAGAAAAGAGAAAGCGAAAGAGAGCGACCGAAAAAGCGAAAAAAAAGAGGGGATAGGAGCGATCGAGCAGAAATTACACCCGCACGCCCACGCGCGCGCCCGCACGACGCCTGCGACCGAGGGAAGGGAAGCCGTGTAGGAAGCAGCGAGGGACGAAAGGTGAGGCGACGAGACCTGACTTTAAAGGAAGATGGACAGCGAGAACTCACTGCGGTCGGGGTGTGGGGTTCCTCAGTGACGTGACGAGCGGCGGTGCTCCCTGAGGTGTGAACATGACCTCAACACAATGGCGAAGGTTAAGACTTGTGTTGGTGATGACTCCACGGACGTCAACACAAAGGGACGGAAGAAGCACTTGGACAATTTCGGGATATTCTACGCGGCCGAGGCTCTGCTGTTAGTCATGGCCTTTTCTGGGGCAAAGTACGTCTTTTCTTTTCTCTCTCTCTCTCTCTCTCCCTCGGTTTATTTCCTTCCCTTTCTCTTTTGAGGGGCCTCGTACAGGTATTATCCCTCCTGTACGGACGATCTCTCTATTCCGTTTTCGTGTGTGTTGTTTTTTTTATGGCTGTTCTGATCAATTATTCCCCAGCTCTTAACCCCCCTGCTTCCGAGCCCTCCATTCCCCTCCCGGGACAAGAGGGCCATACTCACCGACGAGCCAGTCCCTGAAGAGCGACAGCCAGAACTCGGGCAGGCCTCCGTCGTCGTTCTTGATGATGTGGTTGACGCGCGTGAAGGCCTCGTAGTAGTCGTGCAGGAGCCGCTGCTTGGTCGGGTACTCGAAGTTGCCTTGCGTCACGGCGAACATGTTGTAGAAGCCGAAGTAGCGCTGCTGGGCCGCCAGGAAGGCGTACTCGGGCGTGTCGCTGGGCACGATGTCCGTCAGGTCGAGGCCGTCCTGCACGCGACTCACGCCCCACGCCGCCGCCGCCACCGAGGCGAACAGCGCCACCATCGCCGCCGCCTTCACCGGCCCGCACGCCACCGCCGGCCCGTACACCTCCGCCGCCCACTTGTCCAGGCTCCAGCCCGACCAGAAGTTCAGCACCGACGCCCACGCCCGCGAGACGCCCGAGAAGCGCTCCTCCTTCACAAGGTTCCGCGTGGAAGTCGTCGTGGCCAAGGATTCGAGGGAGGGCGCGGAGGGGGCGTGAGGGTCCGTGGGCGTGGCGGTGCTCGCCCAGCACTCTCTGGGCGCGACGGGCGGCATGACCACCTGCGTGACGGTGCCACCCCCCGGGGGAGGGAGGGCCCGCGTCACCGTGTTCTTCTTGGTGAGTTCGCTGCTGACGGGGGGCGGGCGTTGCTGGCGCGTCCAGCTGCGCCCTTCCTCCGCCGCGGCGCTGGCGGACGACGACGGCTGCAGGGACACCACCTGGTCGCGGTTCCAGCCCGGGAGGCAGCACAGGAGGTCCGCGCGCTGGGCGTGGCGCCGCCGCAGGTCCAGACTCATGACCGCGGGGAACACGGTGAGCGCCGCCACCAGGTTGACCAGCACCAGCAGCGCCGCCTGCATGCAGAAGGCTCTGAGGGCGGGCACAGGCACGAGGGCGCCCGCGAAGAAGGCGCAGGCGTTGCAGACGGACGTCAGCACCACCGATACGCCCGCACGCTTGAGCACCTCGCCAACGCGGTCCTGGGGAGAGAAGACGTACGTGAGGGAGGCTTATCTCGCGCCGAAAATAAGAGGAACGCCGCGAGACGGAGGAAGGGCGAGGCGACCGTAAATCGAGGGGGGGGGGAGGAGGAGGAGGAGGAGGAGGAGGAGGAGGAGGAGAGAGAGAGGAGAGGAGGAGGAGGATGGGGAGGGAAGAAGGGAGGCTGAAGGGAGGGAACGACAAGGCGAGGAAGATGGAGCTAGAGAACGATTCGAAATGTTTGAGACGGAGAACGAAAGAGTAAAAGACGAAAAGGGAGATGGCCATACAAAGAGACAGATAAACGACAGAGAGACAGAAATTAAGAAAGTGAGAGAGTGAGAGAGAGAAAGAAAAGGGGGAAGGAGGAAGGAGAGAAAGAGATAGAGAGGACAGAGACAGTCGCAGACAGATAGACAGAGAGAGAGAGAGAGGAGAGAGAGAGAGAGAGAGAGAGAGAGAGAGAGAGAGAGAGAGAGAGAGAGAGAGAGAGAGAGAGAGAGAGAGAGAGAGAGACGCGCGAATAAAGAAACTCATCAGGGAAGCCAGCCTGGAAGAGGGACACCCAGTGACAATAGATTAACAATAAAGACATAACAGGATAGCACAGACGTCGGACAAGACCACGAGTCCCCCACCCCAGGGATAGAGGGAGGGGGGGAGAGGGGGAGGGGGGAGGAGGAGAACCCGGGGCCTCCTTTGTTATCAGACATTACTGTGGTAGTGTGCGGGGGAAGTCTTAAGGGCGGAACCGGCTATCCCCTCCGCCAACTCTCGCCCTTACGGACCCCACCTCACCTGCCTAGAGTAAGATGTCACCGTCAAAATATTGGTTGCGTACGAAGACGGGGAGAAGGGTTCGGAAAGAGTGAGGAAGAGAGCACAGAGAGAGAGAAAAAAAAGCTCAGGTAGCGAGGGATAAAAAACAAGAAGGGGGGGGGGGGGGAGGGGAAGGAAGGGGTGAGGGGGGGGGGGGTTAAGGAACAGTGTTCAGAGATAGAGGAAAGAGTACGAAAGACAGAGGAGAGAAAAGAAAATGGGAACGGAAGACATAAAGAAATTCTCGAGAGAAAAAACGAACCAAAAAAAGAGAAAAACGAAAACTAAAGGATTACCAAAAGAGAAAGAAAGAAGAAAAAGAAAAAGAATGAGAGAGAGAGAGAGAGAGAGAGAGAGAGAGAGAGGAGAGAGAGAGAGAGAGAGAGAGAGAGAGAGAGAGAGAGAGAGAGAGAGAGAAGGAGAGAGTGATTGAGAGAGAGAGAGAGAGAGAGAGAGAGAGAGAGAGAGAGAGAGAGAGAGAGAGAGAGAGAGAGAGAGAGAGAGAGAGAGAGAGAGAGAGAGAGAGAGAGAGAGAGAGAGAATCACGAAGAGATGCGTAGCTCAATATCAAAGCTCAATTTCATAGGCGAGGCAGTGACTGTATTAGCAATTCATTATGAGAACACATGTTATTGCAAGGGCGCTCCCCTCCTTCCCTCTTCCCCATCCCTCCTCCCTCACTCTCACCCTTTCCCCCTCCTTCCCCCTCTTCCATCCTCCCCCCTCACTCCTCCCCTTCCTCTCACCCTCACTCCTCCCCTTCCCCTCACCCTCACTCCTTCCCCCTTTCCCCCCTCCCTCACTCCTCCCCCCTTCCCCCTCACTCCCCCAACCCCTCTCTCCTCACCCCCTTCCCCTCCTCTATCCTCCTCCCCTTCCCCCTCCATCATCCTCCCTCCTCTTCCCCCTCCATCACTCCTCCCCCCTCCTCCTCCTCCTCCCCCTTCCCTCCCTCCCTCCCTTCCCCTCACCCCCCCTCCCTCCTCCCACCTGCACTCCTTCCCCACTCCTCTCCTTTCTCCCCCTCACTCTTTCCCCTTCCCCCTCCTATCTTCCCCTTCCCCCTCCTCCTCCCTCATCACTTCTTTCCCCCCCTCCCCCTCACCAGCTCACTTCTTCACCATCACTTCTTCTTCCCCTCTCACCTTCCCCCTTCCCCCTCACTCAACCATCACTTTCTTCCCGGCACTCCCCCCCCGGCCGGGTCTGAGGCAACAAGGGACCTTTGCATACACAAGCCTTATTTAATGCTTATAAGTGATTATTCCCCATCAGCGAATGCGAAGGGCGTGAGAGGCCGTGGGGGCGCGGGGAGAATGGGGGAAGAGGAAGAGGTAGCGATGACGGTGGGGAAGGAAGGAGGGAGGGAGAGGAAGAGGAGGGAAGAGGAAGAGGGAGGAGGAGGAGGAGGAGGAGGAGGAGGACATGGAAGGGGGGGGAGAAAGGAGAAGGTAGAAGAGGAAGAGGATGAGGAGGATGAGGAGGGGAGGAGGTCAAGGAAGGGGGGGAGAGAAGGTAAAGAGGAGGAGGAGGTGAAGAAGGGGAAGCAGGATCGAGGGAAGAGGAAAAGTCGATAAAGAAAGAAACAAAAGAAAAGTAGAAATGTAAAAGAAAAAGAGTAAGAATAAAGAAAAAAACGAACGATCATAGAGCGATATACGTGCATGCATCATACATACGTACATATATACATATATATATAATATATATATATATATATATATATATATATAATATATATATATATATATATATATAATGTATACACACATATATGCATAATGTATACACACACTATATACAAATATATATATCCATACATATAATAATAATAATAATAATAATATATAATAATAATAATAATAATAATAATAAACAATAACAAAACAACAATAAATATATATATTATATATATATATATATATATATATATATATAAAGAAGAAAGAAAACCAGAAGTGGAAGGGGAGAGGAGGAGAGGGGAGGAGAGGAGAAGGAGAGGGAGAGAGAGGAGAGGGGAGGAGAGGAGGGGAGAGGAGAGGGAGAGGAGAGGAGAGGAGGGGAGAGGAGAGGAAGAGAGGAGTGGAGGAGAGGAGAGGAGAGGGGAGGAGAAGGAGAGGAAGAGGAGAGGAGAGGAGAGGAGAGGAAGGGGAGGAGGAGAGAGGAGGGGAGGGGGGAGAGAGGAGGAGAGAGGGAGGGGAGGGGAGGAGGGAGAGGAGAGAGGAGAGAGGAGGGGAGAGGAGAGGAGGGAAGAGGAGAGAAGGAGAGGAGGGAGGAGAGGAGAGGAGGAGAGGAGAGAGGAGAGAGAGGAGAGAGAAGGGGAGGGGAGGGAGAGAGGGGAGGGGAGGAGAGGAGAGGAGGAGAGGAGAGAGAGGAGTGAGAAAGAGGGGTGGAGAGAGAGGAGGAGGAGAGGAGAGGAGGGGAGAGGAGAGGAAAGCGAGGGAGAGGAGAGGAGGAGAAGGAGAGAGAGGAGGGAGGAGGGAGGGGAGAGGAAGGAGGAAGGGAGAGATGAGAGGGAGGAAGGAGAGGAGAGGAGGGGAGGGGAGGGGAGAGGAGAGGAGGGGAGGGGAGAGGAGAGGAGAAGGAGAGGAGGAGGGAGGGGAGAGGAGAGGAAGAGGAAGGGAGAGGAGGGAGGGAGGAGAGGAGGGGAGAAGGAGGGAAGGGAGAGGAGGGGAGGAGAGGAAGGAGAGGAGAGGAGGGGAGAGGAGAGGAGAGTGAGAGGGGAGGAGAGGAGGGGAGAAGAGTGGAGAGGGGGGAGAGGAGAGGAGAGGAAGAGGAGAGGAGAGGAGAGAGAGAGGAGAGGGAGAGGGAGGGGAGGGAGGAGGAGAGGAGAGGAGGGGAGAGGAGGAGGGGAGAGGAGAGGAGGGAGAGGAGAGAGGAGAGGAGAGGAGAGGAGGGAAGAGGAGAAGGGAGGAGAAGGAGGGGAGGGGAGAGAGAGGAGAGGGAGAAGGAGAGGAGGGGAGAGGAGAAGGAGAGGAGGGAGAGGAGAGGGAGAGGAGAGGAGGGGAGGGAGAGGAGAGGAGGCAGATGAAGAGGAGAAAGGGGAGAGGAGAGGAAGAGGACG